ACTCAGTAGAGGTGAAGGAGTCTAATTTCCTCCTTAGCACTCATGATTATAATATGCTGAAAGATAATCAATTTTTTGCTCAGTGATGCCAAAAATGACTACCTATCCCAGCTTTAATAGTAACACTCTCCATGTTATGAGCGTGTCAAATCAAACAATGATATATCCATGAACTTAAAAAGTCTGAATTATGAACCCTTAGTATCTGAAGAAAGTATTACGTGAAGTACATTCAAATATAACTCTCAGTTGACTTTTAAAGTCCTCACATTTTTTTGCATTTATACTGCCACTGACCATATCTGTCATACTAAGTTCATGTTTTTTTGTAGAGCACAAAGTCTTCCAACACCCAGCTGAAGTTTTTTTAAAAAGAAACAAAGCTTCTTTAAATGCCAATTAATACTGAACTGCAAAACTAAACATAAAAAGCTGCAGTTACTCTTTAAAAAGCATGTCTGGTAATATTGGAGAAAGTGGAAAAAAGTCCCTGAAAACAACCAGCTACTAAAAAGCCAGAATAAATTCCTACCCAATTCATTTTTTGTCCCAGCAACAATCTGGGCTTCTGTATCCTGAATGAGCTGATGACACAAATGCTTTTACAAAAACATCACACACACAAGTTATCTTGTCTCATTTCTGATCAATACTTACTCTTCTAGGGACACAGTGAGCTCTTTCAGTTTCTTCCTCTGACGTGCGATAGCGTTTGAGCAGCTGTCTTGCAGTTTGGTCACGTCCTCAAGTTTCTGTTTATATAGACGATGGGTGTCCTGGGGTTAAAAAGAAAAAAAAATCCAGAGGATAATATAAATATGTATGGTGTAATGCAAAAGTTTTAATTATGATGAAATCTGCGAGGTAGGAAGGGCACAAAAAGATAAAAACCAACCAAAGCTTTAACCAATCAGAATCAGAATCAGAAAGACTTTATTTATCCCCAAGGGGCAATTAACAATTAACCAAAGACTCTGATGCTGTTGCATTTTTTTCTTTAATGGTAATACAGGCTGCTAAATGGGTTATCATGTAATAATCATGGATTTATTGTTAATGGATTCTTGGCATTTCATAGATATTTTAAATTATTACATGAGAAAATCTGTCTTCCAAAGCATTTAAATAAGTTATTGTACCTTAATTATTTAACTATATATTTGAGGTAGGTATAATCAGTATGTTGCTTTCCAGAAAACATGTGACTGGTTATCACAGTTTGTACAAGTTTGAGACACTTTTAACTGCCAATTTTTTCTGTAAACTGATTCTGTAAAAGTTGGGCAGAGGAATAAAAATTTTCCCCCTTGGCTTCATATTGTGGCAAATTCCCAGAACTGAGCAATTAGAATTGCACAAGAGACAGAGAAATGGTTGTGCCCTCTTGTATATGACGGAAAGTGATGCAATTTTACGCAGAATTTACAACTGCAGACAGCAGTTACTACTTTGCATTTTACTATTCACACACACATATTGATAGAGGGCAATCTGGCATTCAGTATCCCACTCAAGGATACTTTGAAAGGAATTGATCCAACAACCTTCCAGTTAGTAGACAACCCACTGTACCACCCAAGCCACAGCTGCTCTAATATGATGTGTAAATTGACATGGTAAGACAAGTTACCTAGAAAAATATTTGTGTATTGTGCTACATTTACTAGCATAAACAGACCTACTCAAAAAACTCTGTCTCAATGTATTAATCTTAGCAAAGACACACTGAATATATAAAATCTATTTTATGTGTTTGCATCATTGTCTTGCAGTTAAAATGCTCGCCTTTTTAAAATGTAAAATTTCCAGTTACACCAAAATTCACATTCAGTATATTGCTCCAACAATTGTGTTTTTAAATGTAGTTTTTCTTTCCTTGATGCTGGTTTAGGACCTGAACACTTCCTTTGACAAGTGACATACGTATTTCAGTGCCTGCCATTTAGTTATATATTAATACCACACCTATAAACGACAAACTAACCAGGCCTATATCAATATATGCGCACTGTAACGGATCTAAGCTCTCAACGATAACAACAAACCAACACCCATAGCCCGAGGTTCTTCCTTTAACAGTGTGACAGCTGTCACGGTGGAGGAAAAAAAGAGGCTGTTGTCCTCGCAGGAATTAAGTTTAAGTTTCAATGACATTTTCTGCATCTCTTGGCTGTCACAAGACAGTTATCTTGAGCTGCTGAAGGCGAGCCCCTCATTCTGTAGCCTGTGCGTTTCCCCCACCTACCCCCGACTGTTAGCTTACCCGGGCAGGGGTAACCAGGGGTGGACACACCATTTACTTAAAATACCTGAATCTGTTGGTAGTCCTTCTCTAAATCCTCCCATTCGTTTAAGCACTCAGATAAACCACCTGGACTGAACAACATTTTTCCCTCTGGCATCAGGAAACCTCGCGGAGTTGGTCAATAATCACACTCGAGTGAGCAACAGTTGTACCACCAAACAGAATTAAAGCTTAACAGATAAACAAGCGCTACTTCCTGCAAGCACCTTCAAAATAAAGGTCTCGAGGTATTTTAACGTTCCCAGTTCAAAACGGATGATTAATAAAATACGTAAATTGGCATTAGTTAAACATAATTACAAA